TCCCATACCCCGTTGATCAGGAGGAACAAGTTGGATAGTCCTGATGGAAAGGAGATGCTGTACCGCAGTGTCCATAAGGACTCGTTTTTTCAGATTATGAGAAATCGGACAGCAAACAAAGACACTCGGAGGAAGGGAAAGGAATTCAATGGCCAAACCAGATTTTAAAGTGGCCAGGACCCATCTATCGGAAGTAGATCTCTCCCAAGCTCCCAAGAGGCAGCAAAGAGAGCCAATCTGCCGCCTATGGGAGGACCTGAGATGCAACTAGCGACGGCGCCAGTAGGAACGACCTCCTCCCCCCCGAAAGGGCCATTTAGAAACAAAGGGCCTACCACGAACCGATCTATCCTGAGAACCCCGGAATCTATTAAAGTTAGTGGAGGGCCGAGAAAAACCAAAGGAGAAAGACCCACCCGCATCGTTATCTCTAAACTGAGAATGAGGGGTGTAAGGGGAAAAACGGGACTCCCCACTGCGGAAGATAGGTGCCAAGATCTTCTTTTTGTCTCTTGTTTCAGTGAAACGGCTCCAAAGTGTCTCCAAACAACCTGGCACCCCCAAAGGGAACCGAGGCTAGGCACCATTTGTGTCTAACGTCAGCTTGCCAGTGACGCAACCATACTAACCGGAGGGCAGCCACAGAGGAAGCAAGAGCTTTAGAAGCGAAGCGGACGGCAATTAAGGAAGAGTCCGCTGAAAACTGCAGAGCTGCAACAATTTTGTTAAGGTCCTGTTTGATCCGCAAATCATCAGGTGACAATTTTTCCTGCAGCTGCCTCAACCAGAGCAGGGTAGACCGGTTAAAGAAAGAAGCTGTGGTAGCAGCTCTAATAGCCCAGGCGGACCCTTGGTGTGCTTGTTGTAGGACCAAGTCCGATCTACGTTTGTCCGGGCATAGTGCTTCATCCGGATCCCCTGGGACGTTGACATTAGGTAGTAAGGCGACGATGGGCGCGTCGACAGAAGGAATTTGAAGAATGGAGTCCAATTCCGTAGCCACCTGAAAGTTCTTCCGGTTGTTGGCCGAGGGCAGGACAGCTGAAGTTGGAGAAGACCACTGCCGCTTCACTGTGTCCAAGAAGAGCAGTGGAGTTGGCACAGATGTAGTTGGCTTAGCAGGTTCAGCAAACACGGGGTCCAACAAGTCAACTGAAGAGGCGGGCACAGGATCTACGTCTGGAGAGGACATATGAGCCGTGGAAACAGCTTTAAACAGTAGCGACTTGAACAATGATTGCGGAAACAACCCTGTAAAGGAGGGCTGGTCCAGAGGAAGATTATCATCGTCTGAGAGGCCCGAGTCGCTATACTCAGCATCCGCCAAGGCCGAAGGCTGACTAGAATGAGAGCAGGAGGGAGAATCAGGAGCCCTGCATTGCACCTTTTCAGGAGCCGGCCATTCCAGAGAAACGGGTGGGGCTGACTTCACGGAACCCGCACGGCTGGGAAAACAGGAACGGGCAGCTAGAGACCTCTTTACCGCTGCCTCAATCATGCGTTGGATCTGCTCCGGGGAAAGCTATCCAGGAAAATGAACAGGCACAGGATCAGGATCAGAGGCAGCCGGAGGAGGAGACAAAGAAGAGATCTGTCCAGGTTCCAGATTCGAGGAAACCGGCTGGCCAGAGGTCTCAGAGCCCCAGAGGTTTGCAGTAGAGATGGTAACGGGACAATCCTGGAGCGACATCTGATCCGGAGTGACCGGGCGAGAAAGTGTCGAGGGGGCTGAGGTCACCCGTACTGTAGAAGGCTGAGTGACAGCGCAGGTAAGATTAGCGCAGGCCTTGTCGCATAATTTCTTTAGAACTTTGTCCCTTCTTTTTTCAGCTCTAGAAGTAGAGATCTGTGCATCAGACTTGTGACGGGCGTTAGACGCATGTAAAACTGGGGATGGCTCCTGAGAGGCCTCCTGAGCTAAAGGCTGGTCAGCAGATCGAGAGTCTGGCCGATCACTGTCAGAGACTCCGGCCTTACAACCATGCTTTGATTTAGCCAGCGCTTTTGGCATGGTGTCTGGCAAGGAGCTCACAACTGAAGCAGGAAGCAAAGGGCGGAAATTGCAACAGCAATGGGAGCGCAGGAAACTCCACAAGACTACAAAGTCAATGTGAGCAGGCCAAGACAACAAGGGAGCATAGACTCCTCTGGTAAGCCCTTTGCAAGTCACAGTCCAAGCAGGCCAGGGGGCGTAAAAGCTCCACAAAGGCTTGCAACAATGGCCAAATTCAGTTCCACCAGGCAGGGAGTGCAAAGGGATTCAGGTGGCTTGGTCACTATATGGGAGCAGAGGCTCCACTAGTTCTGTGTCCCAATCAACAAATTCAGTAGTCTTAAGGTTGTTAAACAGCAGCAGGCAGAACAGAAAGCTATGTTTATTAATTTGAGGCTAGAAGCGACAAAAAAGTCAGTCAAAATGGCCGCCGCCCTCACTCTGAAGCCAAACTTCTGCTGGCAAGTAGATCTCAGTAGAAAGGAAGCAATCAAAATGGCCGCCGCTCCTATTTCGAAGCCAGAACCTCCTAAGGGCAATTAAAATGGCCGCCGCTTCTATTCCGAAGCCAGAACCTTCTGAGGGCAATTAAAATGGCCACCGCAGGCTCCAATGAGGGGAATCTTAGTGGTCGAGCAAGGAGAAAACAAAATGGCCGTCGCAACTTGCCGAAAGTAATTTCTTGCCACCCAATTTAAAACGGAGGCTAAAACGGCCATTCGATCAAGTAAGTACCTCTGAAAGGCCTCCCAGCCCAATCAATGAAACAGGGAAGGCAAGCGCCCCCTCCCAGGGGTGCTAAAACCACAGAAAATGCCCCGCGGAGAAGGGCAAGTAGAAATCAACACAACGTTGTTAAACAGTCCAAAGGTCGATCCAACAGATAAGAGGGAAATTCAGAAAATGTAGTCAAGAAATCCATAATCAAAAAGCCAGAAAAAACATCCAAATGGAGCTAAATAGCCAGAGATATAGTCAGAGCTAAAGACCCACACGCCAGATCAAGCTGAAGGACTGAGTCAAAAGCGAGTCTGCCCGGCAACAAGGGCGGGACTTGATGTTATTGATAGACTCAGTCCTTCACGCTGATTGGCTGCTGCTACCCATCCTGGCTGCTGTTTCCACTCTCAATGGAGAAATAGCGGCTGCAAGTCAATAACTACTGTGGTCAAGCGATTCGCCAAACGCGCTGACAGGAACAAGGTGGTAAAACTGACAGAGCGGCTAGGCAGTCTTCGCACCAAATTTCACTTTGAAAGAACGGGCACAATAACAGCAGCAATGCCGAGAAAAGAAGCCCCAGTGTTCCACCAGTTATAACCGGGAGCATGAGGCTCCACGAGTTGCTGGTGGGAGCACAAAGCTCCACGGGTAGACTCCAAAAGTGATCAAGGGAACCAGAGCCAAAAGGCAAGCCGCAAAACAGCAGACTGTGAGGGAGAAGCCAAAATGACTGCTGGTAGACACTGCAGGGGAGTACAAAGCTCCACAAACCGTACTTCAGCCTCCGAAGCTTTGGAAAGTATAATAGCCTCAGCCACGGGAGCGCGAAGCTCCACAAATAGACTCCGAAGGCAAGCAAGGTAAGCAAGGATGAAATGCAAGCTGCGAAATAAACCGACTGTGAGGGAGAAGCTAAAATGGCCTCCGGAAGCTGACAAGGAGCGTGAAGCTCCACAAACCTCAAGTTAGCCTCTGAAGCATTGGGCAAGGTAACAGCCTCAGTCATGGGAACACGAAACTCCACCAGTCCCCAAACTGAACCAAACGAAAGGGGATAATAATTTGAGGAAGGAGGGAAAGGATTAACATCCCCCCCCCAGATAACTAGCTAGGCTAGTTAGTGGTAAAGTCTTACTGTATTAAATCGAAATCCAAAGAAGTCCAGTAACAATCCAGGTCAAAATACCGTTAAAGCCAACAACAATGTGCAATCAGGAAAAGGGGCAAAAGCCAAGGAAAGATAGAAATAGCAAGAGGAACAGTCCCACACACCTGTCCAGGCTGACAGACTGAGCCAAAAGCTGGGTCTACCCAACAAGGGCGGGACTTAACAACTTTGACAGGCTCAGTCTATCAGCTTGAACAGACGAGCACACCCATCCTGGCTGCTGTCTCCATCCACAATGGAGAAGGAAATGATCACAGGGTTTCCAATGAACATGCCTGCTATTAGATATGCTAATCCAAGAGTGATCAAATGTGAATGGCTTTATTCAGAGCTGCAGGGACAAATTAGGGCTCGCTTTGGTGTATCACCTAGCCTGCCGTCTAGCAAAAATCACGCCTGAACTCCTTTATCTCACAGCAGAGCCTGTGGTAGAGTTTTCAAACTTTTAGTGTTGGATGCATTTCAACCTTCTTGCTCCAGGGTGGAATATGGTGGGCCTAAGGAAATTGTGGTTTCAGCCCCAATTCACGTGGGTGGCACAAGTTAGACTTGGTGCTCATGATTTGAAGATGAAGTACATTACCATTAATGCCTACAGTAACCAGATCAATTTCTGATCAATGTATCAATAGCTGGCATCCTGAACAATTTATTGTTTGTTTGTTTGTTTGTTTGTTTGTTTGTTTGTTTGTTTGTTTGTTTTGAAAATTTATATGGCCACCCAAATCCCTCCCACTGACTCCAAGCAGCTTCCAAGAATAAAATCCCAATACAAAAATACAAGAAGCAGTAACACTCTGTCCCCCCTTCCCCCTGCAACAACAATCAAACAAACTACTTGATGGGCTACATATCACTCTTAACTCCAGGCCAGTTAACCATGTCTTCATGGTCTTGTGAAAGAGTGTTAAAGTCAACCTTATCCTTACATGGATGATGTTCCACAGGGAGGGAACCATAATGGAAAAGGCTCTTCTTCTTGGACCCACCAGATGGACTTCCTTAGGAGAGGGACCCCATAGCATTCCCTGCCACCCCGCTCTGATGGCTCAATTAGATCTGACTGGAGAAGGATGGTCCTTCTGTGATGACTCCCCAGGACGATTCCCTAGATACCTCTCTAGATGTCAGCTCGGTGGAAGATGAACCGTTTCTTGGCACATCAAAAGCTGAGTTAATTGATAGCTCCGAACAGCCATCCGGAAGGGATTTGACTGAAGCTCCAGCTGGGAAAAACATGTGAGGAGGAGGAACTGCCTTCTGCACCTCATCCAAGAACATGTAGGGTAGAGAAAAGGCAGGACCAGAGAAGATCAGACAGATTACTTGAAAGAAGAAAGCCTCACTCTTTTTTATGGCTACACCAAAAAGCTGGCTATTTAGCACTCCAGACAGAAGGAGGCATTGCTGGGAACAATGTGTTTGTTTCCTAGTTGGGTGTTTTCTGGTTGTAATTCCTGCATCGCTTTACATTGACACTATGCCTTGACTTGTATTGTGCCTTGGAAACTCTGGACTTTTCTTGACTCATGAGCTCTCTTGTGTTTTGGATTTAAGTTTGCCTGGTGGATTTATTTTGTTTGAGAAACATTCAAGTGCTTTGTAAACTCTTTGGCCATTGCTCTGTGGACTAACATTGGTCTACTCGTCATTGGACTTAATTGGGACAATTCAGTTCTGAGTTTCTTGGTGAAGGGAATTACTGGAGAATATTAATAAACTCACTAAATCACAGCTAGGGGTGTGTGTGAGTGAGTGGGGCAGCACATCTTCACATAATGTGGTTCTGAGCTATGTAGAGCTTTAAAGGTGTAACCAACAGCAAATCGGCAGCCAAAGCAAACTCCACAGAAAAGATGACACATATGCAAATCTAGGCTTGTACAAAACCATGTGTATTGTCACATGTTGAACCAACTGAAACTTCCAGATATTTTTCAAAGACAGCGCCATATAGAGCACATTGCAATAGTAAGACCAGAGATGACTAGAGTGTAGGTAAGCATGAGCAGGGATTGCTGGTCCAGGAAATGGAACTAACTGACACACATCCCTTGGTTGCACAATGACCTTCCAGGCAACAATTGCCATCTGCTCCTTGAGCAGGAAAACCCCCAGATTACACATCAATCTATCTGGGGCAGTGCCACTTCACGTAAGACCAAAGATGGCAATTCTCCACAGGTCAAACAACCACAAACCTGCTACCATTCCGTCTTCCCAGGGTTCAATTTCAGTCTGTTGTGTCCCATCTAGCCCTTAACAGCTTCCAGGCACTGCAAGAGGGAGGTCAGGGATTGCTTAACTCACCATAGGCTGAGACATACAGCTTCATGAGCATGTTAAACAAAAGCAGAGAAAATACAAAGCCTGCAGAATTCTGGAAAGCAGAAGTCAAAGGCCAGACCTCTCATTTCCTATCAACACCAACTGTCAGAAAATCACAGAAGAAGGAAGCAGACCAGGACATCACGATGACCTCCTACTCCCAACCCAAAGCCATTTCAGACGGTTACTATGTTAAATGGTGTCAGAAGCTGTCAAAAAATCAAGTACAGCAAGGATGGATACACTATCCCCACCGTCATCCCACTAGAGACCAAAAAGTACAACTAATACCATTAGTTCAGACTTGAACCCTCATCAGAAAGGATTCAAATAATCCATTTCATTCAAAAACCTCTGGAGTTGGCACTCAACCATCTTCTCAATAATGTTCTCCTGGACAAAAATTATCTAATAGGATGGGATCTAGCAATGCCCTCTTAAGAAGAGGGTGGCGCATCATCTCTTCCTGCAGAAAGGCATTATCACCAGACCCCACAAGCATGTCATCTCCTGGGAAGCTTTCACAAGATAGATTGGACTTGGATCTAAAACACAGGTGCTTGTGCTCATAATCCCTAGGATTATTATGTCTGCAGATTCTTGTTCATTGTTTCTGATTCATACCCTTTTACAGAAGAATAGATGGGACAATAATTCTGCAGAACACTGTGATATATTTCTAAGATTCTTTGTAAATAAAAGTAATCATATGTATATCCCTAAGCCAGTGTAGTAACAAAATTAGTGCTGGTACAGTCACTCGGACAAATTTCATGGTTGAAGATGAATTTCAATCTGAAGTTAAACACATTGTCAGCCATGAAATCTCACTTTGTGACTTTGACTCAATTATTCTTTTTTAGTCTACCTACTCCATAGGCATATTGTTAAAAATGGGCAGAAGGTGCCCTACATATATATCACCTGAATGAAAAGCAAGATACATATCTAATAAATATTTGTTCAAAGTTGGATATTGTTGTGTAAGCCACAGCAATATGAATAAGGTAATATTTTACAATGTGATCTTAGATTATTTTGGTCTCATGAAATTTAAGTAAATGGACAAACTTCTCTATAGCATGAGGTCAGCTACCTGTAGCTGGTAGCTGATCTGTGTGCCAACCTTGGGGGGGGGTTTGGCAGATTGTAAGGAGTTGTGACTGAATTCAGAAAATAACTTATCTTTTTAAGCTTAGACAAAGACAAACAGACAGACGGATGGATGAATACATTTATATGCTGCTTATCTTGCAAATGACGATTGTTTCAACAATCACCAGAAAAGAGGATTCAGAAAAATTACAAAAATTTTGAAGAATGGGGGAAGGCTATCTGAATCTGTCAAGGCTGCATTTGAAGGGAGAACTGAAGAAAGATTTGTAAATCTTGAAAGAAGAAATGAAAGAAAAGATGAAAAATAAAACCTGGAAGAACCTGTGGAGAGTTGAGTGTAGGGAAATCCAAGAGAAAGTATAAATTTTAGAAAGTAAAACTAGAAATAGTAAAGCAATGGAAAAAGATTTGGACAACTTGGCAGTATTGGACTGAAGAGAAAAAGAATTCTGCCTAAGATTCAGAGTAATACCAGAGAAACCAGTGAAAATATTAAACTTATTTAAGCTTCAAATATTTTTTTTGAATGATGTGAAGAATGGGTGCAGAAGTGAATAAAATGTATATAATACATGTAATGCAAAGTTAAGAAATATATCAAGGGATACTCATGTGCATTTTTTTCAGAAGAAGAAAAGAGAACAAGTTCTGCAACAATATTTTAACACCAGACTAAAAATTAACAATTCAGGTGTAATTGTACTTCAAGAAATTCCAATCAGAATAATGTATGAGAGAAAGATGGAAAGATTCTGAAATACTGAACCACAATGAAGGAATGGTTGATAAGAATGACGGAACTTGAAGAAATCTTACTTTTCTCAACCCTGAACTACATCTTATTGGATAAGGCACATTTATTTAGTCTGTCAAAATCCTTCTGAATTTTGAGTATCTTCCAAAGTATTAGCAAATCTCGCAAGCTTGGTGTTGCCTGCAAATTTGATGAGCTCCCCTTCTATCCCCTTATCTAGGCCAATTAGGAAGATTGTGACGAACACTGGGCCCCCATACAGAACCTTGAGACACCCTACTCCATGCTTCCCTCTATGTCAGCGGTTCTCAAGCTGGGGGTCGCGACCCCTTTGGGGGTCGAACGGCCATTTCACAGGGGTCACCAAAACCCTCTCTCGCCCTCCCCCCACGCCTTCACTCACCCTCACTCTCTGCTCTGTTGGATCGCCGGCCATTCGCTTATCCCGCCCACTCTCAATCTATTGCTGCCTCCTGAGTCCCAGCTGATGGCTAGAGGAAAAAAAACTGTTTAAATTCTTGCCGCGGGGCTTCAAAGGGCCGTCCTATAGCCAGTGGTGGGATTCTGCCGGTTCCGCCCCACCCCTTGCCCCGCCCCTCCGCACCACTATTTATTGCCAATAAATAGTGGTGGGCGAGGAGCAGGCGAGCCAGCAATTTAACAAATAGTTCGGTGTTTTTTGTAATTTTACTGGCCCCCGGAGCTTCAGCATAGGCTAATTAGCCCTTGATTAGATCGGCTCCCAACTCTCAGCTGATTTGCTCTCAGCTGTTTTGCTCAGGGCTCTGCTGCTTGCTGGAGCAGATTTTTTTTCCCCTAGCTATGCTGAAAAACGAAACTGAAAGTAAAGCAGGCTGTTGGCTTTGCTGTTGCTACAACGTTGGAAAATTAGGCAGGCAGATTTCTTTCTTTTTCCTCACCAAAAAAGGTAGGTGCAAACAATGGGAGATTTAGGGAAAAAGTGGAGAGTTCAAGATTTTAAAACACAAAAGAAAAAAAGCTCTATTTAACTAGGGAATTGTAATAATTGAGATACTATTAATTGTATATTGTGTTGAAAGCAGAAATGGTTAAGTTGTGGTTTGGAGGAATATATGGGGAAAATTACTTGGTTTATTATTATTGGTAAATATAATTAACTGATTTCTAAGAAATTGGATTGCATGGAAATAATTGGAATATTCATGTTCATATTGATTAATATACAAAAAAGGTAGTTATATAACTAATTGATTTATATTAAAATGTTGAATTCATATTAAACAACTGTAATATTACATAATTAACCAATGTGAGGATGGATATAAAAATAGATGACAATGAGAAGGGGTATAATATAGAATAGAAGGGAAAAATTGAATTTGATTAAGATCAGAGATGAGGATGAAGGGTAATATTGGTTTTTTACAAAAATAGATGAGGAATAAATATGGCAAAAAGGAAATATAGAAATTGTAAATTTAATTGAAATGACTAAACACTGTTTAAATTTGTGAACCGGCCAAATACTCTGTTCAAAGAAAATACATTGTATGTTTGTATGTGTGTTTCTAATTATTGTTATTTATTCATATTTGTTCTCTTTTATTCTTTAAAGTGTAACAATTCATTCTTTATCTTAATATCTTTATATTTGTTTGGGGTTGGCTTTCTTCCCTTTCATCTTTTTTATTGTACAGCAATCTTTCTCCTCAAACCTACCACCTCTCTCTTTTCTTTCCTTCTTACTTTCTCTTCCTCCCCCTCTTCTTCTCCTCCCTACTTCCTCTTCCTTTCTCCTTCTCCTCCTCTCTTCCTCCCTCTCTTACCCTCACTCCTACTCTAATTTCCCTTCCCTTCCTTCATCTCTCTCTATTGCTGAATCCTTTTGTGCACATGGACTACTCAGAGGGCTGAAAAAGTTATTTCTGACTGGTCCTCGCACTTTTGACCAGATCTCAAATTTACGACTATTCTCACATTTTACATTTTTTGCCCTATCTTATCACCATGGTGAAAAGAAGCAGTTGTGAAATGAGTGACATGGTTGTTAAGAATGCTGCACACGCATAAATGTGAGGATGGTCATAAGTGTGAGGACCAGTCAAAAGTGCGAGGACCTGTCAGAAATGACTTTTTTCAGCTCTCTGAGTAGTCCCTATACACATAGCCATGGCCACCCGGTCACATGACCAGCTAGCCACGCCCACCCATCACATGACCTCCAAGCCACACCCACAAAATAAGCCACACCCACAGAACCGGTAGTAAAAAAAATTAGAACCCACCCCTGGTTGGGGGTCACCACAACATGAGGAACTGTATTAAAGGGTCATGGCATTAGGAAGGTTGAGAACCACTGTTCTATGTAGATATAGCTTTGTTGAGGGCTAAATGCTGAGCACAGGTAGTCAGCCAATTACTAATCCATTTGATGGTGGTGCTATCTATCCCAATTGCTCTGTCTTACCAAGAAGTAGGCTATCTTACTAAGGACAAATAGTCAGTAAGACATTTGTCAATTGCCTTCTGACTAGTTTGATTAGGGAGAAGACAACAAGTTCATTTTTTATTAGTGACTAGAAACCTTTTATGGACTTTTGCTAAGAACACAAAAAAAATTGAACTGGTAATTTTTTTTCCTGTCATCATCAGCCATTTAGTTGTGTCCAACCCACATTCACTCCATTGATCACACTCTCCATGCCCCTGTCTCACATTGCTTCCTTCAGTTCTGTGTGTGTCATTCTTTACAGCGTCCAGCCAATGGGTAATAAGGAAGCCTCCTCTTTTTCCCACTGATCACTCCCATTATTTTTTTCCTTTTGTTTATTTACACACACACACACACAAAACTCAAGGTGAATCTGATGATTAGAAAAGGAAAAATATGGGAAGTGAATTATGATGCAACTTTAGAGGAAGGATAGGCAATACATTTATTTTAACTGCTATACAGATTTAAAAGCCAATCCCTTATAGGTTTTTTCTTTTCCTTCCTCTATTTACCTTTTACATATTCATTTACTTTTTTATTCTTTCTTCTTCTTAAATTCATAGTATATTTGTTTTTATTATTGCATAAATACCTTATTAAAATTATTTTAATTATTTTAAGGAGCTGGCAGATGTTATTTCAGAACCATTGTATTATATCTTTAAAAAATCATGGCGCACCGGGAAACTACCAGAGGATTGGAAAAGAGCTGATGTGGTTCGCATCTTCAAAAAAGGAAAAAAAGGAAACTACAACCTAGCATCAATACCTAGGAAGATACTGGAAAAAAAATAATCAAAAAACAGATCTGCAAACGTCTAGAAACAAATAAAGTTATAACTAGAGCCAGCACAAGTTTGTTAAAAATAGATCATACCAAACCAAACTTATTTCATTCTTTGACAAAGTGACTAAATTACTAGACCAGTGAAATGCTATGGACATAGTATACTTAAGACTTCAACAAGGCATTCAACAAAGTAGACCAGAACCTACTTCTTGGTAAAGTAGAAAAATGTGGGATAGACAGAATCATCACCAGATGGATTTGTAACTGGCTGACAAACCGTAGTCAACAAGTAGTCCTTATGGGTACTACATCTACATAGAGGGAAGTAAGCACTGAGATACCACAACGTTCCTTCTTAGGCCGTGTACTATTCAATATCTTCATAAATGACTTAGATGAGGGAATAGAAGGGGAACTCATCACATTTTCAGACACTAACCTGGCATAAATAGCCAACACCCCAGAAGACAAGCTCAGAAAACAAAAGGATCTTGACAGACTTGAACAATGGGCCATATCCAAAAACATAAAATTTAATGTGGAGAAAAACAAGATTTTAAACCTATGCAGGAGAAACTGAAGGTTCAAATACAGATTAGGCGAAATCTGGCTCAAAAACAGTAACTATGAGAGGGGCCTTGGAGTCCTAGTGGATGATCACTTAAACAGGAGCAGTGGGTGGCAGCCACCAAAAAAGCTAATATAATCCTTGGTTGTATAAACAGAGGCATAAAATCAAAATCAAATGAAATATTAGTACTGCTTTATAAAACCTTAGTAAGACCACCCCTGGAATACTGCATCCAGTTTTGGTCACTACATTATAAAAAAAGAGAAGGTTGATTCCATTCCAGCTGTATTCTAATTGATTGTTTGAAATCTGGAGCTGAATTCTCATCTTGGTCAACACCACTGTATGATAAGACAGCAAATGGGAATTCAATAACTAGATTCACCCACGTTACTATGTGATTTTAGTTTCAGCTTCACATGTTGAAGCATTATGATTTGTAAAATACAGCATATTACTTATGACCATCTCTATTCAGTCTCCATCTGCAGCAAACCATGGAATAATATGATGTGTGAACTCATAGCAAAAATAAGTAGAGCTTTCTGAGATCCAAAAATAAGACTTTCAGGCAGGGTCCTCAATAATGACTTCTCAAGGTACAATAACGGAAGGGCAAAGGGGAGAAGGGAAAGGTCACACAGCTCTCAGTCACATAAGGGTTTCTGCACTGTGCCATGAACCTTCCTCTCCTGCCCTTTCCAGTATATGGCCATACATACATACATACCTATCAGTACATATAGCTCTTGCGACCCTTCTCCCCAGAAGAATCCCTCCCCCATATCCACTTCATTCTTTCCCAAGCAAAAACAAAAACAAAACAAAACACTAATCACCAGAGAAGCACTATCAGAAAGCAAAAAAACAGAGAAACAGAGATAATACAAGAGTTTCTTTTCCAGCACATCCTCTGGCCTCAACTGACTGACTGGCTGAATTTTATTTGTATTTATTTAATTGCTGCCCATCTCGTATCAATAACACTTGATTCCCAGGTGATTCCAAATGAGAGGCGAAGAGGCTGTTGATGGTGCAATTGCTGTGGCAATAGTGCCTCAAAAATGTCTGAGAAGGTGGAGGTGCTCAGTCCCCAATGGTGGTAGCTTATCCCTTCCGTCCATTGCTGCCTCTGTCCTTTTGTACCACAAGTCCTTGACAACTCCTGTGGAGGTGCGACAACCCCCCTCCCCACACACAACAAAGTTTGTGGGAGGCATAGAATAAGCAGAAGCCCAGAGTCTCTTTACCTATGGATCCCATAACGTCTATCTCTCCCATTTGTATACCTGTGTATTTCTTGCATAAATATTACCTCAAAGATAGATAGAAGTATAAGGCTCTATTCATAACTCGATAGCGCATGATTAATTCTGGTTTGTTGTTTATCCCCGTTTCTTGGTTTTGCACAAGGTACTCAGCCACAAACTAGCAATAACTAGTTAGCACAATGCGATAAATGAAAAACAAAATGTTAAAAAGTTATGATACTTATGTAGTTACTTACCAAGCACCTCTAAATTACATTAAAGTAACCAAAATATCTTTACAGTCCCCAAGGCATGCCACAACTTTTGAGCACCCCTAACATTTGTAAATAGAGAGCTGAAAAATTTGCCCCAACGTAAGATACTGTCTACACCAGTGTTTCTTAACCTTGGTAGCTTGAAGATGGGTGGACTTCAACTCCCAGAATCCCCCATGCTGGCTGGGGGATTCTGGGAGTTGAAGTCCACCCATCTTCAAGCTACCAAGGTTGAGAAACACTGGTCTACACCTTTAGGGTGTGGTCAGTCTTCTGAACAAAGAGAACTGGTATAATATATTAGACCATAATTAACCTATGTTATGGTTACGTCTATGATTCAGCATCACACAACACAGCAGCTAAATCTATAATTCTCGTCTTCCACAGACCCACCTAGGCAAAGGCCCTAGTTACACTTTCCTTTTATGGTCAAAGCTTTCCGAAAGCTGTTCAACTGCCTGGGCGCCGCATCTCCCCCTGGCCGCACTCCGCTTTACCCAGGCGCCGCTTCGGGTGTCTTGTTGTTTCTTCTGAGGAAAAAGGCCGTTACCCGAAGGAAGGAGAGCCGGCGATCTTGTGAGCGGCGCGTAGCTCGTGGGCTTTGCGTCATCAACTGTCATTTGTTCTGAACGAGAGCTTGAGTTTTACGCCTGCAGAAGCGCTACCGGAGTTCCGCGGGGGCGCGCGGGTGGCGAGCTCGGTTTCTGGTTGAAAATGGAGTTGTAATCTGTTAACATTAATCCAAAAGAACCTTTACTTAAGATCAGTTAAAATCCTAAGAAAACAGTCGGCTTAGTCCGAAGCCTTTATTGGTATGTGCCGTAAGCAAACAAAAGAAAATTAAAATTGTTAGGGCGTGGAGGATGCTGGACAATATCTCACCAGCAACCCTTTTCCTAACTGCTTTCTTTCCATATCTTTTCGATTATGTCTGATTCTTGTCGGAAACATTGAAAATCCGTTTTGCATGACCTTTATTCCCCAGAAAATATGAATGCAATTGCAGCCAATCATCAAATTCTCCTAATTCCTAAATACAGGGAAGACTTTCAATAATAATAATAATAATAATAATAATAATAATAATAATAATAATAATATGCTTTCTTTTAGTTTGATTTATTTTGGATTAGGTTATTTACAAGAAGTTTATTACTTTAACACAGTTGCCTCCAGGAAACTAGGATTTAGTCTACCTACTGGTGGAACCCAAATACAGCAAAATCAATGTTGAGGTAGAATCTGAAAGATTATATTGGAAAATTCTGTATTCTCTCAAATTACCTATACATAGATGGATTTTATTTGAAGAAGTGCCTATCTCCCTCTTCTTTCAACCAGTAAGATCAAGCAGAGTTGACTGTTTGGGGTCCCCTTAATCAAACAACATCATCAATGGAGAGCCAGGAAGCATGTCTTCTCTGTTTTGGCACTTGCCATCTCTCATATCACCTCTGCCTATGTCATTCTAGAAGTCTTCAGAAAAGTGGCTGTTCTCCCAGGCTGCGAAGTAGGCTGCTTGTGGAGCACCATTGGTTATGTTTTCTGTTACAGGGAATAGGTTTGTTTATACATGTGGTGATTTTCTTTTTCTTTATAATGGATAAGATGCCTAGAGTCATTGTGGAATCAGTGGACTTCTAAATCTGGTAAATAAATAAATAAAACTAGAAACAAAACAATGATGAACAGCTAGAACAATAAATAGAATAACCAAAGTCAACCATTACATATTCCATTCATACCTAGACAGCCTGATCCCATGTTCCCTCTCAGCAATCCAACAGGTCTCCAAAATTTTAGCCTTCTGGAAGACCATAAAGACCTACCCAGGCACTAGGGTAGAGTGATGGGAATCTGTAGATCATGGATGTCCAACTTTTTGGCTTGCCTGGGCTGCTTAAATAAAGAATTGTCTTGGGCAACATATAAAATATATAAAAAGGATAACTAATATGAATCATCATTTTAGCCATTGTCTATCCATTGCAAGATAAAAGCCGTTTCAGCATGTTTCCAACCAATACGGTCCTGAGCTTGCTTTTGTAAACTGGGCCTGCTTGCTGATGTCATTGATTCATCTTGTTTTAGATCTCTTTCATGGACATTTTTTATCAAATGGGATCCATTCTATGACTGTCTTGGTCCACCTGCCATCAGTTCTTCTTGTTATGTGACCAACCCATTTCCATTTCAATTCTTTTACTCTCTTGATAATGGAAATTGAATGGCATGTTAAATGTGGTTGGCAGGTATTCAGAAAGCTAAGCATAATTTTCAGGAACAACCTCTCCCTATGCCTGAAAAGTTTTCGATCAGTGTGTGCTACCTGCTCTAACATATGCTGAAACATGGACACTAACCTCACAATCAATACAAAAGCTATGAGCAGCCAAAGAGCCATGAAAATATACATGCTTGACATTACAAAACAAGATAGAAAAACCTGCACATGAAGTAAACAACAAACAAAAGTATACGATATCATGAATTGCATAATAATTTCAATGTTTATGATATTGTGTGGCTGCATTATTTGCCAAAGCCTATGGGCTGCATATTGTCTGCTGTAGATGGTTGTTGGGGCATTCTAAGGGAATGAATGAGGCACTTGACTTTTAATCTTTAATTTTTGTATGGTTTTCTGACTTTGTAATTATATTGTTGTTGTAAGCTGCCCAGAGATGTGCTCCAAGATGGGTAGTCTTACAAATCTTTTAAATGAATGAATTAATACCTAGCGAGATGAACCAGTTTTTCAGGACCCTATAGAAAATCAGCAGGATCAGGATCATTCCAAAGAGCAGGTACTGAAACAATGAAGGCACATGTCCTAGAAGCTGCCAGATCAAAGCATGTACTTTGCATGTACTTTGCCAGATCTCATGGGATAGGAAAAGATAATTGGAGATTGATAATCCTATAAATCATTCAACTTTGCGCCATGAAATGCTTTATAGGTGATAACCAGAAACCTGAATGGCACCTAGAAGGCAGAAGGAGCCAATACAACCCATGAAATACTCATATGAATGTGATTCCCTGAAGTGCACCTATAAGTATTTGAACTGCTGCATTCTGAATCAATTGGCCTTACAGTTGGACATTAGAAGTCAGACCAAGTAATGTAAAATATTATTTTTAAGCTCTCTCTAAAATTATATTATTTTTTGAACATGTGACTATTTAAGGTCTATTTTTTTCTTTGTATATATTCTCAGTTTTTAAAAACTTCATTTCATCAACTGTAACTTTTCCCAGCAGTGAGCTTCATGATTGGGAAGAACGTCATCTGATAAAGTTTCCTTTGCTGTACAGCTATTAAAGGCATATACAGAATTTTTTTAATCATTCATATAGTTAGCTCATTGCAAATAAATTTGTCATGTATGATGGATGATGATGATGATGATGATTTTATGCAATTTTCTTTGTTATATATAAAATGTCCATATTCACAATAACAGTGTACTGTCTGGGTACAATCTCTTTTAAATACAAATAAGTCGTATACACACAATAATTATAAGTATTATTCTCAAAATCTATTCATCATGGCCTTCACTTATTCTTATTAAACATTTTCCATTATTTAATTAAACACTCTGTTCAGTTTTGTCTATAATCAGTTAATATCAAACATTATAAACATATAAGCATCACATTTGTAATCATTATTCTCCAAGTCTATTAATCATGTTTACTTATCCTAATTATTCAGTATTCATTATTTAACTACACATTTACTTCATCTTTATCTATGTATCCTCCTTAATTCTAAATTTCTAACTTCTGCTTCTATTTTCTAACCATTGATAGAGTAGTTTCCAAATTAAAAAAGGACTATTTTCCCCATTTCTAGTTTCTACCTCTGTACTAATTCTTAATAGAACAACTCCTGTTTCTGCACCTATCCCTCATCTGTTGCCTGTTTTCATATCTCAACTCTTATTGACTTCTTGGCACATCTCCCATACTCCTCCCTTGAGATCTTGTATCTTCTTATATTCATGTTTGATCTAAGTATTTCATCTGTCTCTACAGCTTCTTCACTCTGTTGAGCCGTCCATGCACCTTTCAATTATCCTTTCCTCACTTCAGGGGTATCTTTCTGTGCATCTTCTTCTGTTTTTTGATCTCTTAAAGCAGGGGTCCTCAAACTTTTTAAACAGGAGGCCAATTCACAATCTCTCAGACTGTTGGGGGGGCGGACCGGCTGCGGGGGCGTTATTGGGTGGGCATGTGACTGGGTTGGCATGGCCAATTTATCAGTCCATTTTGCCAATTTAGCAGTCCATTAAACAATACACACATGAAACTTTCATTTATTTTGCTCCTGGGAGTGTTTTATTTGCTTTTGTTTGCATTTTGCTCTTTTGGTTGGCTTTTCTTTTTACTAGATTGTTTTTTAAGTTGTTTAGTGGTCCACTTCAGAATACTCAATTTTGCAGCAATTCTTCTCAGCCCCAAGGAGCTTACAATCAACAAGTCTCTCTCCCTCTCTCTCTCTCTCTCTCTCTCCCTCCCTCCCTCCCTCCCTCCCTCTCTCTCCTGCAGGATCCCCTTCAATTCTGGCAGTGCACTGGGATACCTCATTGAATTCCATTCCATTCCATTCCTTTCCATTTCCATCCCATCCCATCCCATCCCATTCCCATTCCCATTCCCATTCCCACTTCATCCTATTGCTATTGCTATTGCTATTGTTATTCCATCCCATCCCATCCATTCTATTCCTATTCCCATTTCATTCTCTCCTATTTCTGTTCCATTGCATGCCCTTCCTGCCTCCCTCTCCAGAGGCAGGCTGCCTCACCAGCCACTGCCAGAACTGATATCTATGTGTGGTAGCTAAATTCCACAAAAGAAATACAGTAGATTTAAGCGGGGGGAGATCCAGTCCATCAAAAACAAAAAACAAAAAAATCCACTTGTGGAAGGAGCTACCATGGGCAGTGGAGATGGGCTCACCTCTGGTTGTCCGAGCGCGAGTAATGCCCCTTCACTGACAGTACACGATGCTTCATGGTGGCAGCTTTGCTCACACTGGGGGGGGGGGGAGAGGTTCAGCTGTCACAAAATCTCCTGACTGTTTCTTCACAGATCAAGGGGGGAACCTTTGCTTGTTCGGAAGGTCAATTTTCTCTGGCAACGATAAGGCAATTTAAGTTTGGGAGTTTAGTTTAGTTTAGTTTTATTTGATTTGTATACCGTCCTACTCCCGAAGGACTCAGGGCGGTGAACAACCACAAGATAAAAACACATAAATACAAAATTTAAAAACAGAATAAAACCAAATTAAATAATTTGGCTGAAGACAGATTTAAAACACCCCAATAAATTAAAACCAATTTAAAATTTGTATTTTAAAAGGGAAAAAAGGGAAAAATTAGGCCAGGCCAGCCTGATGGAATAAAAAGGTTTTAAGAGCGCGGCAGAAGGTACATAGATCTGGAATCCTCCGTATCTCCAGGGGGAGCTAATTCCAGATAGTAGGTGCCCCCACAGTCAACATTGTTTGGCCGACGGCACCCGGAGGAGCCCCTCTCTATGAAAGCGTACCGGCCGGTGGGAGGCTACTGGTGGCAGCAGGCAGTCTCGTAGATAACCAGGTCCTAAACCATGGAGCGCTCTAAAGGTGGTAACCAAGACCTTGAAGCGCACACGGAAGACCACTGGGAGCCAGTGCTGCTCGCGCAGGAGAGGTGTTACATGGGAACGCCACGTCGCTCCCATAACCATGCGCGCGGCCGCACTCTGCGCCAGTTGGAGCCTCCAGGTGCTCCTCAAGAGGAGCCCCATGTAGAGAGCGTTGCAGTAGTCCAGGCGGGAAATGACGAGGGCATGAGTGACCGTGCGTAACGAGTCCCGATCCAGAAAGGGACACAACTGGCGAATCAGGCGAACCTGATTAAAAATCCTCCCGGTCACGGCCGTCAGATGGTCTTCTAAAGACAGCCGTGAATCCAGGAGGACGCCCAAGTTGCGAGCCCTCTCCATGGGGGCCAGCGATTCGCCCCCAATAGTCAGTGATGGCACCAACTGATTATATCGGGATGTCGGAAACCATAGCCACTCGGTCTTGGATGGGTTGAGCCTGAGCCTGAGCCTGTTTCTCCCCATCCAGATCCGCACGGCCTCCAGGCACCGGGACATCACTTCAAGGGCATCGTTGGGGTGGTCAGGGGTGGAGATGTACAGCTGAATATCGTCAGTGTACTGATGGTACTTCACCCCGAAACCACGGATGATCTCGTCCAGCGGCTTTACATAAATGTTGAACAGAAGGGGCGAGAGGACCGATCCTTGTGGCACGCCACATATGAGGCGCCTCGGGGTCGACCTCTGCCCCCCTGCCAACACAGACTGCAACCGGTCGGAGAGAAAGGAGGAGAACCACTGCAATACAGTGCCCCCCACCCCTAACTCTTCCAACCGGTGCAGCATGATACCATGATCGATGGTATCAAAAGCTGCTGAGAGATCTAATAGGACCAGGACAGAGGAGCAACCTCTGTCCCGAGCCCTCCAGATATCATCAACCAATGCGACCAATGCCGTTTCCATGCTGTACCCAGGCCTGAAACCCGACTGGAACGGATCCAGATACGTCGTTTCATCCAGGTCTGGGGGAGCTGTCGCGGAACCACACTCTCAACAACCTTCGCCACAAAGCGAAGGTTGGAGACCGGATGATAATTAGACAACACTGCCGGGTCCAGGGAAAGTTTCTTGAGGAGAGGCCTCACCACCGCCTTTTTCAAGGCGGCGGGGAAGTCAACCTCACCCAATGAAGCATTTATAATCCCCTGGAGCCAGCCTCGTGTCACCTCCCGAGAAGCCAGCACTAACCAGGAGGGACACAGGTCCAACAAACATGTGGTCGCGTTCAGTCTACCCAGAATCCTGGAGAGATTTCGGGCTTGGAATGACAATCAATCAGGAATCAGGTGACCCTCCCTCCTTTCTGTGGATCTGTGCAACGTGGAATTCTTTGAACAACCCCCACCCTGCCCCCATTTAACTAACTCCACATCTCCGATCTGGATAACTCTGGAATGAAGGATGAGTTTATGAGTGAAAGTACATTTTATCTAATGGAGGGGAGGGGAGGGGGATGTGTGTGTTCCAACTTCTTCCATCCTTCTTGGAATCTGCCCTCCAGGACTTCCTGAAGCCTCAGTCTAGCATCCTCCCCCGATCATTAGAACAAAGGCCAACAAGTCCCGCTCTTTATCAGTGGGGGGTGGGGGGGACTATGCAAAAGAACTTTCGCCTTAATACGGGAGGGGGAGAATATTTGAATGTGCGTCCACTTGTAGTGCTACCCTGATGGCTCCTATAGCCATAATGAAAGATTTGAGGGGGCAGCAGGGCTGAACAGCCCCCCCAAAAAAGAGTGAAGAAATCCAGCTGTTACAAGTGGATTGTTGTGCATTTGAACATTCTGACAGAATGTTTCTTGTTATATCCCACCCTCACCCCCGGTTTGGCTTCAGCCCTAATTCTTTCATAGCCCTGAGAATTCTGAGAGTTGGAGTCCATCGGTCGTAAAGGTGCAGGGACCCCCCATTTCTATCTGTCCCACATGGAAGATCAGGAAGCGCAAAAAATCCAGAAGCCCCAGAAGAGAATGGTGTATGCGCGCTGACATTTTCTCTGCATGGCGCAGCCTTTTTTTCTTCTACTTTTGCTCCAGGTTCATCACCCTCTGGGGAGCCCTATTGGGGAACTGCCAGCCCTTCCACCAGAGCTGTGAAGCAGTGCGAGGAGAGAAGCGGAAATGGGGGTAAGAGTGTTCAAAGAATCCCACATTGTGCAGATCCACAGAAAGGAGGGAGGTTCACCTGATTCTTGATTGATTCTCATTCCAAGCCCCAAATCTCTCCCAAACTCAAATTGCCTTACCTTTGCCAGAGAAAATTGACCTTCCAGGCAAGCAAAGATTCCCCCCTTGGTCCATGAAGAAACAGTCAGGAGAAGGTTGTGACAGCTGAAACCCACCTCCCACCCCCGCTTGAGCAAAGCTGCCTCCACAAAGCATCACGTGGTGTAATTACGCAGCAGGCGCAAGCTCTTCCGTTGGGACCCTTCAGTTCCTCTCCCCCAGAGGAGCGACAGTGGACTGAACTCCCTGGCAAATCTTTTTTGCCAGCCGAGGAAAGAGTTCTTTCC